GGAGGTGGATGCTGCTGTTTGGGAACGCAGTCGTGTAAGACATTTCTGGGAGGCAATAATACAGAAATACTTTGATGACAGACTTTGCTCGTGCATTTCCGAATGACCATAACATTTCAGATGCTATGGAATGATTAAGGGATTTTTATTTGAAATTTGGCGTTTCCATCACTCGTTTCTCATGCGATATTTCAAAGTACGCATTAAAATAGGGTGATGGAAACATAGCTAATGATGCCTAGTGCTAAGTTTATGGTCCTTCACAGAGCGTGTCACACGTGAGCGGTTAATCACGTGCGCCGACATTCGGTTGGATCGTTCTTTTCTCTTTACTGTTATCACCGGCATATTGTCAAAGTGTCTAATTCTAACATTTGGTAATATTTCTATTCAAAATCACGATTCCTCGATTTCTAAATAATAAAATCGTGGCAAAGCAATAAATTCGAATTAATCGATAAAATCGGGAAAATTGCCCAGCCCTAGTCTGAGTAAATATTTTCATTGCGTAACACATGCCAAACAAAAATCCGTCCAAACATTTTCTTGAAATGGACGTCTGTGCTCGCCCTGTGACATCTCTGAATCAGCAAGGCTAACAATTGTTTGATAGTTCCGTTCTAATTGAGGAAGTCAGGGTTGAACAGGTTGAACTGCTGTGTTTTGTTCAGTATGCGTATTGAAATGCCATTTTTCAGGGGCAAGGAAGGAGGTTCTGACTGTTAGAAGTCATTACATCTGTTCAAGAGAAAATCACTTACACACGCAGCTCCTTTCATTGAAAGCTTCACGGAAACAGAAGAAAAAACTGATTGAGACATTTTTATCATAACCTTGGATCTTTTTACAAATAGGGTTTCAAATATTTCTCCTAAGGCTGCAATTTCATCGGCTGCTCTCATTTTCTGAATGCTGTTTTGATGAGTGGCTATAGCAGCCGCTCTGTAGATAATGTTTATGCGCAGATCTCTGTATAAACTGATTTCTTTAACAAAGAGGTCAAGGCTTGATAAGCCGGTATTATTGAAAGCAGATAAAGATGTTATTTGACTAAGAGCCTGTCAAGGTGCAATTTTTAAAGACCAGCATTCTGATCTGATCACTTGAGACCGAGAGACAGTTTCATTCCTAATAGTTTTTCAGTCTTGTTTCTCATGCAGTGCTCTTCAATCTTATGTGTTCTTCAACCAGTTTACAAATGTCCGTCTCCCGAAAACACTCCTGTTATTGTCAGAAATCGTGTTCTGCCTTTGAGCAGATCGGATGCCCGGAGCAATATAAATGCTAATTTTGGAACTATTTACTGACAATTACCAGATAATTGAGTTGTTTCAGTCTTTTTTTTTAATTTTTTTTCCTTTCCTTTCTCAGAGCTGGATAATGCCGATTGGCTACTAATTTTTTATTTTTTATTATTTAATTTTTTTTGGAGGGTATGAAGGGGAAATTCTATTATGATAACAAGAGCGGTGACCTTTTGTGCCAAATCTTAATATGCACATTTGTGAGTGCATTTTTTGCTGTAGTTCATTACATTATCAATTACATTGATGTGTAAGGCTAATAAGAAAAAGCCCAGGTCTGTTCTTCTGTGCTTGGGGTTCAGTTTTGTTTGTGTGTTAATAATAGAACATCGTGCCAATCATTTTGAAAAGAGCATTGTGAGACAAAGGTCTGCAGAAGCCATTTTACAGATTTAGCATCACAATGTGTTTAACAACATTTATTCACTCTCCAGTCAATGGAGCCATAAATGTAATTTTCTGAAATTAAAAATGTGTAATATTTATACACTTTTTATTCATGTTTGATTATAACAGTAGTCTGTCATAAACAGAAGCATACTTTTTTTACATTTACTATTAGTATATGTTATATTGTATATAATTGGAACAATGTAATGCATTATGTAAGCGTTTTTGAGTGTTGCACAAATAAGTTGTTGAATAATCAAACCAAACAAAAACGTGAGGGATTAAAGAGCTCACCAAAATAGATGTGACACATGTGCACTATGTTTCTGTGTGCAGGTATCGAGTGTCCCCGAGGGTCTCGAAACATGCCAGGTGGGATGCAGGTGGCAGAGCCGTACAGTGAGGAAGCCACAATCTTCACCAAAGAGCTGGTTCTTCAGAGAGAGGTAAGGCCCCTTCATATCTGTTCCTGTCATTTAGAGCCTGTTTCTGTCGCCTTAGTCTTCACAAGCTGTTTCTAGACTTTCCATTTCTGTAGTTGACATGACAGTGCCTGTGATGTTTGGTCTCGCTGGTCATTTTGTGACAACTATCTGCCCGTGTCTTTACTGCTGTCTTACTTCACTTGAGATACTCAAGCACACTTGCCTTTTTCTGTCTTATATTCAGAGAATGGCTGTCTGAATGTTTCAGTTACTCTATAAATAATGGTCACAGAAATTACACGTCCAAATCGAGGAACCACAGATGTGATGGATCAGACATTTTATGAGGAAATCACATGATTGCACACTATTCTTACCTTTTCCTCGGGGTGCTTGACGCTGTACGGGTGCTGTTTCTATTAATGTTGTGTGAAAGAGGTTGGAGGTGCAGTCAGGCTTAATGAGAGGAGCTTTTTTAAGAGCCTAATTTTAACCTGCACTTTACAGAAAGTAGAGGTCGACCGATTGATTGGCCGGCTGATTAATTGGACAATTTTTGGCATTTTTTAATTAATCGGCATCGGCCGATTGTGCTGCAAATTAGGCCGATTTATAGGCAGGCGCATCTGCGGGCAGCTAAGCGTTGTTGCCGAACACCGGAGAATCTTTCTCTGGCTGCGCGAGAGACAAAGCAACTCTCACTCTGCAGCCGCTGGTTGTTCACACACAGCTTCAGCTAATGATGGCAGGGCAAAACAGACCGTTTCGAAAGCGTAATTACGTTTTACCCTACTAGAATTGATGCCGGAAAGTTATCCAAACATTGGCCAAACATATCGGCCCAAAAAATCGGCATCATATATCGGCCAGCACATGCAGAAACTCAAGCGTGGCAGCTTGGAGAGAGAGAGCTGCTCGGACACAGTCATGACTCATCCTCATGCGTGCCACCCCAGCTGCCTCTCACAGATCGTCCGAACTCAACAAATGACCTTTTTGTTCAAAACCGCTACGTCTTACACACATACACCCCCGTAGTGTCTGAGTGTGTCTCAGTGTATTTAGTCTCGCTCATACGCATGGTCTGTGAGTTGGCTTACTGTCTTTACCACTTGAGTGATTTATGTCTGGTTGTGTTGTTATATGCATCTCTGTGTGATTCACTTTCTATGTTCAAACTTAGTTTTCCCATGCTCATAAGTCCCCAAGTCATATTACCTGATTGCACCAGCTGTGGACTAGTTAAAACTTGACATAGTTGTGGAGTAAATGAGCACCAAGTCAATATTGTTGTTGTTTATTATTATAGTTATGTTATTATACTATATGTGAAAGAGGTTGGAGGTGCAGTCAGGCTTAATGAGAGGAGCTTTTTTAAGAGCCTAATTTTAACCTGCACTTTACAGAAAGTAGAGGTCGACCGATTGATTGGCCGGCTGATTAATTGGACAATTTTTGGCATTTTTTAATTAATCGGCATCGGCCGATTGTGCTGCAAATTAGGCCGATTTATAGGCAGGCGCATCTGCGGGCAGCTAAGCGTTGTTGCCGAACACCGGAGAATCTTTCTCTGGCTGCGCGAGAGACAAAGCAACTCTCACTCTGCAGCCGCTGGTTGTTCACACACAGCTTCAGCTAATGATGGCAGGGCAAAACAGACCGTTTCGAAAGCGTAATTACGTTTTACCCTACTAGAATTGATGCCGGAAAGTTATCCAAACATTGGCCAAACATATCGGCCCAAAAAATCGGCATCATATATCGGCCATCGGCTGCCCTGATTTCTAAATATCGGCATTGGCCAGTGAAAAACCCATTATCGGTCGACCTCTAACAGAAAGACTGGACACAGGGACCTACTGCTGAGAATTACAAAAGCGACATGAAGCAGGGAAAATAAAAAAGATAAAGTCCTAATCGCCCACAGTGAAACAAAGTCTCGCCTGTTATGGGAAATGAATATTCTTGAGGAAAAGTGTAGGCTGTGATCCACTCAAAAAGTGTGAAGTCTCATTTGTTTGTCAGAGTGCCAGTCCATCTTAATGAACAGTAGATGTTGGACCTGCAAACATTTGTGTGGTTTTAAGATGCTCATGAAAAAATAAATTTAAGCTTTGTTTTCTACAGTGAATTTAATTTAATGCTCGGCTCATAAACATTTTATAAGCTAGAAACGTAATTTTTTTTGTTAATTTTTCATTAAATGTTAGCGTTTCTAGTAGTTCTTAGGTTATATGGCTACTATACATTTTTCTGATTTTTGTAAGACAAACATTTATATTCAAAGTTATATTAAAGTATTTTTTTCATCATCACAAAGAACATTCTACAATGAATCCTAATAGTTTAGAATGTGATAATATATTTAAAATATAATATGTATAGAAAAATTTACTTTCCATGATCTTTCCATTTTTTTGATTATAGGTTTTTTTTATTTCATAAACATTTTCTACAGTGAATATAAATGTTTGTCGATTCTGATGTGGTGAATACGTTTTCGTTTTTTTTCAAAAATATTTTTAGTTTTAAATAATATATGTAATATTGATTAAAAATATATAATGTTAAAAAAGAGAAAGATGTACAAAAATATGAAGTATTATCTGCTAAAGTAAAGTCTTTGAAATTCATTGGCCAAATGGTGCAGGAAACATCAAGTGTGATGCATTCAACAACATGATAAAAACAGATGTTCTCATCAAAATGTGAGTGCCAAATTTCATAATTCTTAAAAAAAAAAAAAAAGAAATTGGACACTGCAATTAAATATTTGGATGCCAAGTGATTAAAAATCAACCTTGTATCCAAATAACAAAACAGATTAGTCTGCGCAATATTTCAGGCTTTGTGTGGAGTGCGTAGAACCATCAGCGCTTTTGTTTTTCCTTCATTTTTTTTTTGTATTTTGTCCCGCTCTCCATACATGCATCTGTGTGTGCAGTGGAAGGCCATTGTGTTTGTATTGCCCACTTTAAGCTGCATCCTAAAAGTTGTTCCTCTCTCAATCTGGCTCTAATCTCTCATGATCTGAAGCACATAATTAAACTGGCATGAGAGGCTGCATGTTTCTTCCACACACACTTCCTGCTTTTGAGGTTTCCGCCAAGTGGAATTAAGACTGTAGGCTTTGGATTTCCTAAAGCACACATAGCAAGCTGCTACAGAAAGAGCGAAAGCATCTGCGAGTGTTTGTGCTTTGATATAGTTGAATTAATATAGAAATGAATCAAATTTGTCAGTTTCAATCTCTTAAAGTTGGAAAATGAAGACAAGAGGAGTATCCTGCTACCTGACCTAAGATCCCAACATGACAACATGAGTTTTTAGGGCTGATAATGTTGTGACAGTATGTATATCATCCAGCAGTTTCAGCCTTGCTGTACTGTTCATGCCTCATATTATATCATATTAATTGTAGTGTTTTAATTTTGTTTGGCATGTAATGTGAAGCTGTTAAAACGAATGTCTGACTTATTGAATTGTAATGAATAATCTTACCCTTTGCTTTGCAATCCGTCCAGTTCCTCTATAAAAAGAGGAATGAAATTATATTTAATTCAGTGAATTACCCAGAAATAGGCATTACCACCACATGGTTATTCAAATATAATTTCCAGCAATACAAACTGTATTTGCATTTATACTCTTACCCTAATATAAAACGTATTCATATTGTGGCATAAGAATGGTCATACCGCCCATGTGATTTGTGAAGACTATTTCAGGTTTGGGTCTTAAATGTTTACAGTGCTGGTCAGGTTGGATCACGCAGTCTCATTTGGATGCCAGATTCAGATAGTTTTTATGCCCTCCAGGCCTATAGTCTGCAAGTGTCCTCCACAGAATTGAATGCATTTTTATTGTAATAGTAACTGTTTTTACCACAAATGGGAAGATTGGGTGATGTGAAAACTTCTTGGCCAATCAGAGGCTTAGGACAGTGCAGTGCACAGTGCACCGCATATGCAGTGTGTGTGAGAGTGTACTGCAGAACACACACTCATATACTGTATATGTGTATAGATACACTTTCTTTTTTGTTGAACTTGATAAGAGATAATAGATTTTGTTTATTTATTTCTCTTCCTGTCCATCTTTTGCTTTCGTGGAGTAGGGCAGAGGCGGTTTGTGTGTGTGCATTCATGCAGTAAAGTGATGGGAAAGAGGACTGTTGATGGCAGCACATGCAGAAACTCAAGCGTGGCAGCTTGGAGAGAGAGAGCTGCTCGGACACAGTCATGACTCATCCTCATGCGTGCCACCCCAGCTGCCTCTCACAGATCGTCCGAACTCAACAAATGACCTTTTTGTTCAAAACCGCTACGTCTTACACACATACACCCCCGTAGTGTCTGAGTGTGTCTCAGTGTATTTAGTCTCGCTCATACGCATGGTCTGTGAGTTGGCTTACTGTCTTTACCACTTGAGTGATTTATGTCTGGTTGTGTTGTTATATGCATCTCTGTGTGATTCACTTTCTATGTTCAAACTTAGTTTTCCCATGCTCATAAGTCCCCAAGTCATATTACCTGATTGCACCAGCTGTGGACTAGTTAAAACTTGACATAGTTGTGGAGTAAATGAGCACCAAGTCAATATTGTTGTTGTTTATTATTATAGTTATGTTATTATACTATATTCAATTACCGTTGACCGGTTGACACACACACACACACACACACACATACACACACACACATATATTAGGGGTGTAACGGTACACAAACATGAAGGTTCGGTACCTCGGTTTTGATGTCACGGTTCGGTATGGTTTCGCTACAGCAGGAGGAAAGGTAAATAAATTTTGTTTGTTTTTTTGTTTTTAAATTAAACAATGGCTTAGTGATTAAATGCCTCTTTCTTTAAATACGTTCAATTATAATTAATATTTTCTTAAGAATAAAAATCTACCTCAGCTTCTGCTCTAAACTGTAGGGAGCCCTTTTACATTACTATAAGGTTACAATTAACAACAGAGCCCAAACTTAAATTCAATTACTATTTATTTTTAACTATAA